TTATTTTATGTTTATGAGTGTATTGCCTGCATGTATGTAAGTGCACCCGTGCTGTGCAATGCTTGGTGAGGTCAGGAGAGGACATTAGATCCCCTGGAACTGGAATTATGGATGGTTGTTAGCTGCCATGTGAGTGCTTGGAATTGAACCCAAGTCCTCTGCAAGAGTAGCCAGTGCTCTTAACTGCTGAGCCATCTCTTCAGCCCCAATGTTTTGATTTTATAATTGTCAACACTATGAATGCGACTTCACAAATGGCACAAATATGTTTAGGGACTTTTAGGAATCGTTGAAATTTTTAGCCTAAGCCTAAATCAGAGTTAATTTAATGAGTTTTTATGACACTCAAGTCAGTAAGTCAGACAGTGACTTTTAAAACCAAACATTCTAACACAATACAATACAAGATATGCTGATTTGACACATGCTGAAGAATGATGTAGGAAAACATTGAAAGTCTTTTTCTTGTGTAATTGTCACTATATTTCTATGAGAGCAGAAGTCTTTGTATGTGCAGTAAAAACAGTGTAATTCATAACATACAGTAGATAATTTCAAATCTGAGCTGAGGTGTTTCAGGCAGCAATTGTGTTTTGTGGCATGACTGACTGAATATAGACGGTAAAGTACACATGCTGTGTGTCGGAATCAGGGCAACAGTGAAGCTCCACTGTGCAGTATGGGTGAGTGGTGCCGGAAACACCACGGGCCGTTACACATTTAATTCTCAGTTAAATTTGGCCATTTCATGTTCAAGCCTTTTCTTATTGCCAAGGTTTCCATAACTCCCACATTCACTTATATGAGCCCTTATGGATTTATGACCCAGAGTTTAAGTAGCTATACTGTAGATAACATTCTGAAGAAATGCATTGTTTCTCTTGTGTGTGTGTGCAGCACGTGAATGTGTGTGTGTGTGCGTGTGTGTGCGTGCACCTGTGTGTGCAAATCATCTAATGGAATTCATTTTGCTCTGCCATTGTTGCCACTGCTTTATTCGACTGTCTTCATTTTGATCTCATTCTCTTGCCTTTTCTCTCAGGAGATGGTCCTTTCCCAGGAATCATTGATTTGTTTGGGAGAATTGGCGGTGTGGTTGAATTTCGGGCCAGTCTTTTGGCTTCCCGTGGCTTTGTGGTGCTGGCATTAGCATATTTTGCCTATGAAGATCTGCCTAACAAACTGCTGGAGGTGGACTTGGAATATTTTGAGGATGCTGCCAACTTCCTACTAGCGCATCCCAAGGTATTAAAATAGTTTTAATTCTATTTTGCAGCATTACAATAATGTATGTTCAAAACTTTGTAGCTGTAAAATACCATTTGAATGGAGATGGCACAATATTTGAAAGAATCCAGCAAACATTTCTTTCTTTCCTTTTTAAATTTTGGAGTGTGTGGGTGTTGGTATGGCTATGGGTGCACATGCATATGCATATGTATGACCATAAAGGCCAGAAGTCAGACTAGGTATCCCTCCTCTCTCAGTGTCCCCCCCTTGCTTTTTGAGACAGGATTTCTAATGGCTTATTGCTTCAAAGTAGGCTAGGCTGGCCAGCAAGCCCCAGGGACCTGCTTGTCTCTGCCTCCTCGGTGTCTTGGTTTGCAACTGTGCACTACCATGCTTAACTTTTGAACATGAGTCCTGGGGATTGAACTCAGGTCCTCATGCTTGCAAGGCAAGCACTGTACCAAACTAGCTGTTTCCCCAACCCCAAGCACCTTTTTCTAGTTGAAGACAAGAATTCCATTCTTTGGAAAGCCTAACTGCCTCAGGCTTTGTTCTGTGATGTTTAATGATGATGGATTCTAATTGCATTTATAGAACTCCACTTATAAATTTTTTATTAATTTTAAGACAGAATCTTCCTATGTACCCTAGGATGGACTGGGACTTGAAATTTCCTGCCTCAGCTTCCCTACTGTTGAGTTTACAGGGCTGCTCTAGAACTTTCTGTTTGATGAGGTCTTATTTATTTATTTATTTATTTTAATCTTATGTGTAAGAGTGTATTGCCTGCATGTATGTGAGTGTGCTGTGTCATGCAATGCCGTGGAGGTCAGAAGAGGGCATCACATTCTCCTGGAACTGGAGTTAAGGATGATTCATAGCTGCCATGTGAGTGCTGGGAATTGAACCCAGATCCTCTGCAACAGTAGTCAGTGCTCTTAATCACTGAACCATCTCTCCAGCCCCAAGGTTTTATTTTTTATTGTTTTACTTAATCCTTATTACAGTTCTGCAAGGTGGGCGGTACAGTTGCTCCCACAAGAAAAAGCTTAATGAAGGCATTATTAAATGTCATTCTGCATCACACAAACTGGAAAATTTGAGTGCCAGAGCTTGACCTTTTGACTCCCTGCTTTTGTGGCGAGTGTCTTAGAGATCAGTCGGTAACTGATTTCCTTTTGTTTTGTGTTTAAGGTCCAAAGGCCAGGAATTGGCGTGATCTCCGTGAGCAAGGGTGCCGAGATTGGGCTGGCCATGGCCTGCTACCTGAAGCAGGTGGTTGCCACTGTCTGCATCAATGGGTCCAGCGTCGTCTTAGACCTTCCGCTTAGGTACAAGGATCTGGTTGTAACACCCATCCGCCTGGGTCTGGAACGCACCCAAGTCCATGTCTCGGGGGCTGCACGCTTCCGTTACCTTACAGACGATCTCTGGAATAAGCTGAATCCACAAAGCATGCTTCCTGTGGAGAAGGCTCAAGGCTGGATCCTCTTCATCGTGGGGGAGAATGACGAATGTCTGGATAGCAGAGGGTATGCTGAGAGGGCCATGCAGCAGCTCCAGAGTCACGGGAGAAGTAGAGGAAGGATGCTGGCATACCCAGGGGCGGGCCACCTTATAGAGCCACCCTATTCTCCTTTTTGCTTGGCGTCCTGGAACCCTGGCGTGGAGAGGCCCTTTCTTTGGGGAGGAGACCCTGCTGACCATGCTGCAGCCCAGGACCACTCTTGGGGGGAGATCCAGAAATTCTTTAGGCAACACCTCATTCCAACCAGAAGCAAACTCTAAGCAAATAGTGAGTGATCATGCGCGGGTGGAGTGCAGGAACGCAGGCAAAGAGGCTGGAATTGGTGTAGGTAGAAAAAGCATTAGTTAAGCATAGGTAGAAAAAGCATTAGTTAAGCATTGGGGCGTATTCTGGCTTCCTTAGGTTCACATCACTGCAAATCAATTGGAAGGAAATTGGACAAAATTAAAGAATCAGGACACACGTGCATCAAAAGTATTTCTGACAAATTTGTATATAGCTTGAATCTTTGTAAATTGAATTCTAGTTTATTAGGATACACGGCTATTCTGAAATTGTGATTTCCTTGAAAATTGAATAAGCATTATTTTTTTTTAATCTCTAGTTAAGAGATTTTAGATCTCTTATGATCTCTCAAATGCCTTTGATCCAGGCATTTCCAATCTAAATGAATTCCCTGAAATTTCCAAATTCTAGGAGTACATTTTCTGTTTCAACTACTTGAAGTTCTGGTGCTTGAAATGAAAGCCACAATAACACTGTCAAACATAATGCTTACCGTAGAGTTCCAGTAGCTGCTGTTTTTGAAAAAAGTAGGATGATGATGCACCTCTTTATTCCACATACATATTATTTGTATTATTCTAGGGACACACTGTTTTTATCAGGAATGGGACTGAATTTAATGAAGTGCCTTTGGAGCATTCATTGAAGATGAATGAGTTAACATGGTTAAGACTTTTAGTCCAGCACCTGACGTGTAGCTATTGCTGCATCAGAGTTGGCGTTCTGATTTTCAAGCCTTCCTCTATTAATATCATGATGTTTTTACTCTTTTGATCTCAGTGTGGTGAATTATATTCATTAGTAATTGCATGTGCTTGTTCGCTTACTTTGAATAGATGAATTTCTCATATTGAATAAGCAGTGTTATAAAGTGTCTTTTGGAGCCAATCTGATCTTTTATATTTCTCAGAATTTGTTTTTCTAGAACATGTTTTCTCCATTTAATTTCTTCACAGAGACTTCCATTATCTGTTTTCTCTTTTCTCTTTCAATCTGACTTACTGAAAGTTTGCCAATTTTATTTATCTTTTTAATTGGTGACTTTTGGGTTGTTTACTGGTCAAATCTTTCTTTTAATTACTTCATAACTTTATTATGTTTTAAATTAAATTAATTCCTGCTACTAGCTTTATGTTTATTTTTCCGGTTTCTGATATGTGCTATTCTGTTTTTATTAATTTCTACTTTCTGGTTAATATTTTGTTTCTCTTTAGCACAAAAGCAATTTTACTAAAGCACAAAATGTCACACTGAAGAGGGGGCAGGAGAGGAGGCGAGCACAGTCTCTTTGCTGTGGAGGCCTCAGATTGGCACCACGAAAAGCTACTCCTAATGATATGTTGAACTTGAACCTAATCCTCTTTGATCATTTATTAACATTATGGTTGGAGAGCATGTTAGATGGCACTATAGGTAGACAAATCCAGATTGTGTGTCATTCTGTGAGACAGCTGATCTAGAGCTTCAACAATTAAGTGTATGGATAAAAGTCATTAAGTTAGCCTCCAAAGTACTGGAATTAAAGGCATATCTCACCATGCCCAGTGATCTGTGTCTTTTTACCTAGGAACTGAGATCATTAATATTGAGGGTTATTATTGACCAATGTTTATTAATTCTTGTTATGTTGTTGTGGTGGCATTTTCTTAGATCTCTTTTGGTTAACTGTTCTGAAATTATTTTTTCTTGTGTCCTTTTGGGTGTGTTTACTCTTCTCTTAAGACTTGTGGTGTTTACTATGCAAAGTCACATTATGGGGATGTTTAAAGAAAGACAGCCTAACTCTTAGCATCCATTTTAAGGCCAAGAGTGGACTGAACTGCTAAGAGCCTGTTCCTTCAGAGTTCTTTTAGAATCGTTCTTCCCAACAAAGGGCCCATTCTTTCTTTTATTGAAACAACATATCCATATAAAATGGGGATTTAATCAGAACTATTTTATCAAAGGAGAATTGCCCTTACTGAACCCCACTGATTTATAATAGCACACACAAAACCACAAACAGATGTTATTAATTTAATTCCATCTATTGCTTGCAACATAAATTGTTTTCAATTAGAAAATCAAGGTTTTCAATTAGAAAAGTGCTGCTTGCAGTGTTTTAATATGCAAAGCATATCTACACATATCCATACATTATCTCAAGTTGAGGGCAAGGAAAGGTCATTAGGGATTAAAGTCATACACCCAGATCATTGGAGGGGCACACGGCTCAAAAAGCATTGTCTACATTATAAACAGATTAAGACAAGATTAGCTTTTTGGTTGTAAAGTTAAGTAAAAGTCATCTAACCCAAGAATGTCCATATTGTTAAAGTCATTCCTAGATAGAACAAAGTATTCCATCTAGTATCCTCTGTAGAGTTGACTTAGTGGTCATGAATTCTTTACACCTGTCTTTATCATGGGAAAGTTTTTCTTTCTCATTTGATCACAATGGATAGTTTTGTTGCATATAGAAGCCTGGGCTTGCATTGCATTCTTTAATGTCTTGTAGGACATCAGTTCAAGTGCTTCTGACTTTCATAGTCTCCATTGAACAAACAGCTGCTATTCTGATTTGTCGGCCTTTATATATGAGTTGATCCTTCTCTCTCATCACTTTCAGCATCTCTTCCTTGTTCTGTACATTTAGTGTTTTGACTATAATATAATGTGAGGAGTTACTTTTCTGGTCCTGTCTGTTTGTATTCAGTATGCCTCTTGTTCCTTGATAGAAGTCTCTTTTCTTAGATTTTGTAAATTTTCCTTTATGAGTTTCTTGAAAATGTTTTCTGTGCCTTTGACCTAAGTTTCCTCTCCCACTACACCTATAATTCATAGGCTGGTGTTTTTATAGTGTCTCAGAGTTCCTTCATGCTCTGTTCCTAGGTTATTATAGATTTAACATTTACTTTGACTGTGTGATCCATTTCTTCTGCCTTGTCTTCAAGATCTGATATTCTCTCTTCCACCTGATGCAACCTATTGGTGAAACTTTTCTCTGAGAATTTTGTTTGACTTCCTGAGGTTTTCATTTTGAGTTTTATTTCAGTTTGGCTTTTCTTCAGAGATTCTATTTCTTTATTGAGTTCTAATTTCATATCTTGAATGGTTTTTTTTAATTTCATCCAGCTGTTTGTGTTATATTTAGGAGTTGGGAAAAAGGAAGGAGTTTAAAATTTAGAAATAAGAGTCAGAGCTAGACCTGCAACAGGCAAGGAATGTGCTCCCTGGATTTAGAAAGCCCAGCAAAAGGCTGATAAAAGCTGTTCTTTGGGGAATGATTATCTGTGCTCTGAATGGGGAGGAGTCTTGTCTTATATAGGAACTCTGCTGCACACAGCTGCAAGAGTTAACTCTGTGTCAAGGTCTTGTGTCCTTGAGAGTCTCTTTTCTCAGACAGGCAGGTGAGTTATCTACAGCACTAAAGGAGACAGGTGGGCTCCACAAACAGTCTCTTTCAGTTCAGGGAGTGATCAACTGATAAGGCTTGAACAAGGCCAGGCTTGAGCAAGGCCAGGCTGCTAATTTAGGGCCAGTTAGACACTCCAAGGGATTTATGGCTTTCCCTAATGAGGCTTGTGGCTCTTTTGCAATTCACATATTCTATCAGTTTGTGTTTTTGTTGTCTTCATTAAGTGTTTCATTCATGTCCTCTTTGAATTCTTTGAGCATATTTATGATTGTCATTTTGAAATAATCATCTTGTCCATAAGCTAAGTTGCTTTTCTCTGGAAACATAGCAATGGGTGTGCTAATTTCTGGAGGAGACATTGTCTTGGTTATTCATGTTGTTTGTTTGTTTGTTTGCAATGGCACCTGGGCATCTGGAGTTACATTGTTGGTGATGTTTCTTGGTGTAGATATCTGATCTCACTTTAACTGAGTGGGTGTTTAGATTTTTGTTTGCTTTTACTCCAGCTTGTCAGGTTGTGGATCTGCTGAATGATGCATGGTTTTCAGTCTTAGGGCACCCTGTGCTGATTTGGGAATGGGGTCTCAGTTCAGCTAGGAAGAGCAGCAACTTCTGAGCCCATTGTTCTCAGTGGGACTCCACGAAGTCCTGGAGTAGTACAGCACATAGGGTGGCTGCTAGGTTACCGGACTAGATCTGGGGTTGCTACCTATTGTTCTGGATTGGACTCCTTGAGCTGGGAACAAATGTCTACTCACCCCAGATAGGGAACTAATGACAAACCAAAGTAAGGAAACTACCAGAGTCCAATGGTGGACCAATGGGTTTTATTGGGGTTACTTACAGGAGTATTAGTGAGGTGTTACTTACAGGAGCAGAAATGACTCAAAGACAGCTGTATTATCAAAAGTCCACCCTAGCACAGGTGGCTCATGAAAGCTGGAAACATGGAGCACACTGCAAAACCTGCAGGCAGAGGGAGTGGGCATGGATTTGATCAAAACACCTTGTATGCATGTATGAAATTCTCAATAAATTATTTATTAAAAAAAAACTGCAGGCAGTTCAATAAGTTGGAGAGTGCCTCTTCTAGTGGCTCTTCTAGTGGCTCAGTTGATTTGAGCCTCTTCTAGGCAGCTTTGCTGGTCTCTGATTCTTCCAGGCAGCTCAGCTTATCTGAGTGTCTCTTGGCAGTCCTTAGGGCTTGTATATGCTTTAGGAGGGAAGCGCTATTGGACCTGGTCAACTTCAGGAATTTCCTGAAGCTATTGAGTTGTTTACTTCCTGAGTTTAGGGCACTTCCCTGCAGGGCTGAATGTGTCAACCTCCTCTCAAAATATTCTGTTGTTTTCCTTCCTTTAGAATATCCTGTATTAACCAGTTTCCCCCAAAGATGAAAGGTTTTAACTCAGAGGAACTTGTTACAAAACACCTCCATGAAGATGAACTCTTTCCTCAGGCTTCTGTTTGTTATGTACTTTTCCATCCCGCATTCTCAGAGACCTCCACAGTTCAACCTAACTTGTTCTTTCAGTTGTGCTCAATCTATTACATAACTTACGTTTTAGGTTTTCTTTTGATGATGATCTTTAATTTCTGTGATCTCTAATTGGATAGTTCCATAGAGCTGATTCTCATTTCATAGGTGGGACATCCTTTCATGTTCCTTCTCTCACCTGTGGCTTTCATAAACACACCCTAGTTCTGTGCATCCTACTTTAAATCATGTTTTGCCCAAGAAAGTAATGTCTTATGGCTAGAGGGATGGCTAAGTGGGTAAGAGCATGGATTGCTCTTGAAGAATACCTGGTTTTGGTTCCCAGCACCCATATAGGGATGCTCACTTGCACTCACTTACACATACACCCAATACACATAAGATGTACTTAACACAATAAAAATATCATTAAAAGTAATGTCTTAGTTGATTGCCTCACCTCTTTCGATTCCTTTTGGCCAGTTCTGTGATAGCCTGAGCTCCTCCATTTTGTGTAAGATTGCCATCTTGATGAGCTGTCTCAGACCCTGCCTTGCCTGGGCTGGCAGTTCCAGGAAGGGCTTAACTTCAGGGCAGTTCCAGGAAGGATTAACCATAGGAAATACCCCCATAAAAACCAGAAATGTCTCAGTTAATGTTTTACGGCTTTTGTAACCACTTGCCTATCACCTATCTGGCTTCTGTAAATTGCTTACTTACATACTCGCAGGAACAAATGCATTGTTCTTGTAAAATTTTGTACAATCACATGGTCCATCAGGATATGGTTTTTGCTTTTAAAAGCTTTACTTTCCTCTGAGTCAGTACTGCATTCTCTAAATCCCGGTCCAGAGAGGACAGTCTCTGGCAAGCTAAATAAATTGTGCTAATTCGGGATGTCTGGAGTCTGAGCGGTCCTTCCCAGGAGTCTTGACACCATTATCAGTTCATTGTGAGATTGTGCCATTCTCTTACTTACCGAAGACTTCCTGTTATATTAGGATAAATTCCAAAATTTATAACAGTATTAAGGCCTCTAAAAATCTCAATCTTAAAATTTCCAACCTGCTTTGTGACATAATAAATGTCTATTTTTATATTAATATACTCCAGACACACTGGCCTTCCTTTAGTTCTTTAATGCATAAAGTCTTTTCCTGAGCTAGTATGAGGCAGTGTTGAAGTTTATTAAAAGATATTTAAAACCTTTTAAATTTCATTTTATTTGTGTTCATGTATGTGCTTGTACATGTGTGGAGGTCAGAGGACAACTTTGGGGGGTCATTTCATTTCTTTGTACCACATGGGTCTTGGGACTCAAATTTGGGTTGTCAGGCTTGACAGTAAGCACCTTTATGCACTGGACCATCAAGCTGGCCCCTAAAAGATATTTCCAAGAAATTTTAAAACTGGCTAATAGAAAGAGAGGCACTTTGGAAAGAAAGTAAGATATACCCAAGATCATGGGTGTGGACGTCTCAGAGTCACATTAGTGTCTTTACAGTAGTCATATATGCCGGTATTGATAGGTTCTGAAATTACATCTCAAAGGGCTCCTAAAGAAACTTTCAGTTTTGGGTAAATGAGATCCTAATGTGGCTCTTGACAGTGGGTGGAATTAAAGCTGATAAGGTAAAATCAGATCACTAGAGTTGCAGAGGGAGTTAAGATGCTTTTACTATTAAAAAAAAGTTTAGTCTTCTTTGTGAGAGTCTCAGAAAATATTTGGAAAAGGAATAAGATCAAACAAGACCAGATAGGCTTGGGCCTTAAGTACAGTTCATTGCTATTTTAGCATTATTTTCTGTATAAAAGGAATATCATCTCTATGTTGGCTGCCTTCACTACAAATGGTAATTGTGCTAGAAAGTTTGATTTTCAGCTGGTAAGAGGCTTCAACCAGACTCCTTTCCCCTTCCCAAGTTCCCTTAATTTTCCTTGCCTGTCTGTGTTTCCTAGGTATTGTAGCTTTAGTGCAACCTAGTCCTTGAAATAACTTGGGTAATTAGGATATTCACTGCTGAGGTTCTGGGAGTTAAATAGTAGGAGTCAAGCCAACTTTTCAAACAAAAGTGCAAATCATAGTTCTTTTAAACAATATTTTATTGGGGCTGGAGAGATTGCTCAGTGGTTAAGAACACTGGCTGTTCTTGCAGAAGACCCAGGTTCGAATCCCAGCACCCACATGACAGCTAACAACTGTCTGTACTCCAGTTCCAGGGGATCCAACAGCCTCTTCTGTCTTCCATGGGTACTGCACGACATGGGTGCACTTACCTACACGCACTATTCTATAAACCACAACTTCTCACACAGCTGATACCTTACAAGTCCCAGGTTATGAAATCAGAGTCTGTAACCCTAGACAGACTGGTCTTCCCAGAATCAGAACTGGAAAGAACAGTAGAAAGGTCATGGAACTCACTTTATTGACTTGATTTTTCTTCTTGGAAACACAATCTGGTGGCCAAATAGTCCAATGACCTCTCAGTGTGACATGAAATGGGAATAAACAATTTTGTGAGCCATCTTTTTTTAAGTGTTTGGGAAAATAAAAGGAGTCATTCTGGCATTGGGTGGCATTACACTTAGCTTACAGAAGGCAGAAGAGCTCAAAGCATATCACACCAAAAAGAGACAAACATAGTTCAAGGGCATTTTGTTCCAATGGAAAGAATAGAAATGAGAATTAAGCACACCTGGATTATAATATGGAGACTGACATAGGACACACTGCCCTGGAATTGCCTTTGGTTCCCTGGCTTCATTGCACTGAAGACAACAGATTACTTTATGAATGTGAAAGCTTGTGGCTTACATGTGGGATGAACAGAGCCTTAACTACTTGCTCTTCTCTCTAACTTTAGTCAGACATACTTAGAAGATGTGTGTGTGTGTGTGTGTGTGTGTGTGTGTGTGTGTGTGTGTAAGTAAACAGTCAGGAAATGAGGGGTAAAGAAAAGTTTTAGCAGACGTAACATTTGTTCCTAAAATTGACTGCCTGATTTTTTATTGGCAACTCAGAAATACCAAGGAGCAGAATGAAGACCAAGTAGAGCACTAGGAATCCAGAATGTGCATGAGTATCTTAATCATTTAAGGAGCTCTTTAGTTTTACCTGAACACATACACATGCACATAGACTCATTCATTCATCCATTCATTCATTCATTCAGTCTCATATTCGCTCTTTCCCTCCCTCTGTCCCTTCTTCCCTCTTTCAATCCCGCCCTTCCTCTCCTACTCTCTGAATGACTTTTCATGACTTTGCAGCCATGTCCTTGTTCAAGTTCCTCTCAGCTCACAGGAGCTGAGAAGCACGGATACTTGCTGAGGTCGCCTAATGGTGACTCTTCAAATACCCTTGCCCAGTGCGTGAAACTTCAAACAAAGGAGATGAGCCAGAATTCATTTTGTGATAACTTTTTTTCTCTTTAGAAAAAAAAATATGTACAAAAAAAGCTAAGAAGAGCTGACATGGAGGTGTCAAGAAAACATTCTGATAGGTACAGACAAGGAACTCCTTCTCTCAAAGGAGGTACACATTATCACCATGCTAGAAAAATGGGATGCAGTTAAAATCCTAATGGTTAAAAGCCACAAGCGAAGCTGTTGCTCTGAGGCTCTACGTTGTAGATGCTCTGAAATCCTTTCTGTAAAATAATACTGTGCAAACTGTAAAATATTTATTTTTATATAAATTCATACAATGTGATATACAAAACTGTTGAGTTGACAGGAAAGGCTGGTGCTGGCTGCTTTGTTTTGGAAAGAAGGCTACAGGTGACAACCTGCCTGCTCAAGGACACAATTTCAGACAGATCTTGAGTTCCTTAGATGGGTGAGGCTGTTGTCTAAGAAAGAATCCTATAATCAAAACGAACCCCTAAATCTAGGCTTCTGTGTCAATTGTTAGGCAACTTCTATCCCAAAGGTTAGGCAACTAGTATATCACTTTAATTTGGAACAAAATAAATCATTAACAAGCCAGAACACAAAGTTCTCTCCAAATATATATTTTTTTCCTTGGTTGATTTTTGATTTTGAGATTCATCATTAACTGCCATTTGTCCTTCCTGTAACTCAAAAGTTTAACTTTCATTAAAATTCAAAACTTCTGGAGGAGGCAGCAACTGTGGTAATAAAAGTTTAGAGTGAATTATTAACTTTGTATTTATAAAACTGAGAAAAGAAAATTTGTGTACAAAGACCACAGAACATCAACCACTCAATAAATGATGCGTCAATACACATTTGGACAAGAGGAAAATTTTGTTGGTTTTAAAATTCTGGCATAAATATATTAAAGCTGACAAAAGAAAGATCAGGGCAAGCTACATCACTTTTCATACAAAAAAATGTACAAAACATTAGCCTCTAACTAGATAAACGTAATACTTGTCTTCACAGTTTGACGCTGAGTAACTGTGTGTTTTGAAGTATTGAATTGAAGGTGGTTTTAAAAAACAGCCACACTGCTTCCGTCATCTCAGGTGACTTCAGTCATGGAGGCCGAGTGGTTCTGTGGAACAAACAACAGGTAGTATCTCAGAGTTGGGCTGATCGCCTTCTCTGTGCACTCACCCTCCCCTGGATATTTTCCGCATCTACTGAAGCTTGCTGTTCTTTCCCTTATTATGCTCTTCCAAGGCCCCTCTTCCTTTAGCATTTCCCACTAAAGGAGAATCATTCCTTCATGCAAACATTTCCCATATAATTTTGTCTCATACTTAACTATTTTCTAACACAAATATTTAAAGATCTCAAAGCAACATCATCTGTATTCCATACCTTTTAAATGTTTTTAATATTGAATACCAACTAAAATTTTCTGTGTGATTTAGTCTTTGAGTCATAAGTTATATAGAAGATTACTATTTTCCATTCGGTAGAGGGTTTTTGGTTTGACTTCAGTTAAATGATTTTTTTCCCTAGCGATGTGGTCTGCATAATACAGAGCCATTCAAGTTTCTTCTTTTATTTTTCTCTTTCTTTTTTAGTTTTTAATTTTTTAAATTTTAGATAGGGTCTCCCTATTACCCCAGCAGACCTGAAACACTACATAGACCAGGCTGGCCTTGTCTGCCTCAGTCTCCTGAGTGTTGGAATTAAAGGTGTGTGTCATCATGCCTGGCTTTTTTTTTTCATTTTATTTATTTATTTATGGGTGTGTGCACACGTGTCATGGTGTGCATATTGAGGTCAGAGGATAATTTGTAGGAGTTGATTCTCTCTTCCATGTGGGCCCCATGGGGATCAAACTCAGGTTGCCATCTTACCCTAAAATTCATTTTTTAAATTTTTATTTGTTTTTAAAAAATATTTATTATTTTAATTTTATTTTATGTATATGAGTGTATTATTTTATGTATATGAGTGTATTGTCTGCACATATGTAAGTGCACCCGTGTTGTGCAATGCCTGTGGAGTCAGAAGAGGTCATTGGATCCCCTGGAACTGGAGTTACCAACAGTCGTTAACCACTATGTGGGTGCTGGGAACCAAATCCAGGTCCTCTGCATGAGCAGCCAGTGCTCTCAACTGCTGAGCCACCTCTCTAGCCCCTCACCCTAAAATTTCTTAAGACTTGATTCTTGGCCTTGTACATGATTTGGTTTCATATTTCATATGAAGGACATTTTTATATACAATGCAAATTAATCTTATTAAGCATCTATCTGTTTACTATGTTTTGTTTGCTTGCTTATAATTGAAACTTGTTAAAGGTATCCTGTTTCAGATGTGTGCATTTTTCCTTGTAATTCTGCAACTTTTTGTTTACATTAACTTGATAACGTGGCTTTCATAGGCCCCTCTTTTGTTTAAATTTAAAATCCTAAGCTATGGGCTTATGGAACTGGTAAATAAGAAATTGTGGTTTTCACCTGATTACTATTCTTGCTTGTTTTAGGACACTGGAAACTCATATTCCTGAAACATCAACTACGCTTTTTAAAAAAGATTTATTTTATATTTATTTATGTTTATGTGTACATGCACGCGGATGCCAAGGGAGGCCAGAAGAGGGCGTCAGATCCCTTGGAGCTGTATTTTTGAAGTTATGCTAACTGAAGTTTGATGTATTTCTTGCCATAAGGTGAAAAATAACTTTCTTTTCTACAATAACTTCATACGAATGAATGAATTTTACTCAGAATTGAATCTAGGGGCTCATGCTTCCCAGGCAAGTGCCCTGCTACTGAGCTATATCGTCAGCCTATAGTTTCATTGTATAATACATTCTCTTGTGAGTTTTGTCACTACTTGGGTAATTTATGTTTATTTAATTCTATATCATAGTAATAAGGATTGAGTAAGTCTATGTCTTAAGATAGGTGACTTTGGCCAGATTTCTTTAACTCTCCAGGTCTTTTATGTTGTCTCCTATTTATAATAGAAAGTTTGTATTAGCACTAATTTTGAGTCAAGGGTCCTTCAGAATTTGCTGGGAATATTTTCTCAATTGAAAACTCTACAGTTGCCGAACTAGAATCTCTTGGGGTAGGGGTCCAGCAGGCATTTGTGGACTCATCACCAATTGGCATCTTCTTTTTTGTCTGTTAAAGAAATATAGCTTCTTTTCTCCCAAGTAGAAGACATAGAGAGACTGCAGCATCCAGAGAAAGTTAACTCAGTTGCTTCATTCCTAACTTAATTTCTTTGGGTAAATGTGGGCATTTGGTTGTAGAGATAGCTGAAAGCTGGTGTCTTTAGTGTTACAGTAAGTCTATAGGATCATACACCAATGGTTTTGAAACAAGACCTGTTCTGTTTGAATTTTATAGCTATTTACTTTATGATACCTTTCCACTGTGTCCTATTTTAATCAGCAGTATAAATGGGAATCCCAGAAGGTGCCTGCTGCTTCTATTTTGAATGGCAGACAGATTTCATGTGTTTACGTATGTGCTCTGATGAGACATTTGAGTCTTCTCTAAAATCCCCCAAAGTTTCTCTTCGTGGGAGAATGACTGTATTGCAAAATGACAAAGTGTTTTCACTTATAATCTACGGCTACTGGCATTGCACCAGAAGTTTTTACCCAGAGAGAACATGGAAGAGGCTGGTTTTAGAAGAACTCAGGTGGAACACATCAGCCCCTAGAGCACATGTTCATACTCAAGACTAAGAGATGAAGATTTCAGGAGCATGTCTGGTTGGATAAAAGCTGAGGCTGTGTTTATAGCAGGGTAAACAGGACCTTTAGAATTAGATGGATCTGTGTTTAATTTTGACTGACTTTGGGACTGCTGCTTAACCATATATTGCTTTTATTTCATCTCTAAAGTAGGATTATGTTATCAACTGCAGGAATATTGTGAACACTGAGTAAAACAACTCTAAGCAACTGCCAATTTGCTTTTCTTGAACAACAAATGATCTAAGTGGAAACGTTTTCTAGAAAAGGAAGACATTTCTTGAATCTTCCACCACTTATGTGGACTGTGCCACATCACAGGGACTTCCCATTTTGACTTGCCTGCAGAAGTCCTGTTCGTTATTTCTCCTAGGTCTCTATTGCTATAGAAACGGTGACCATGGAGAGAGTGACTTGGTCTGATTTGAGGTTGTTGCTTTTAGACCAAAGTATCCACATGAGCTTTTGTCTCTGGCTTGCTTCAATTCATGCAACATTTGTTTCAGATTTAGCGAATGTCTGGAAACATGGAATATAAGGCATGGTTTATAAAACCCAGACTCTAAAGATCCCTAAGTGCTTGAGGAACCTAAGTATTAAGGAACAACCTCTAAATGAGAGGGGAAGTCACATGATGTGCCTTGAAGTTCTGATAGCCCCGGCTTGGTATTCATAAAGGCCTCTCATACGTGGCCACAGATACATTTAAAGGTTTGAAAAAAGTTCAGCTATAACCTACAGTGGATAATGAATTTATTCACAATATTGCTGCTATTCTCAAAGTAGATATTCAAAGACCCTCTGTCTATATAGAGAGTGACCATATCCCAAAACATTTTGTATTTCATTTTTTCAATGTGAAACCTTCAGATAGGCCCTGGAATTCTCTTGGCTCAGTCAACTATGAACAGTCTTGGAGGAAAAGAGAAAATAAATTTAGGGAAGGCCACAGATGAGGCTAAGGCCAGAGCAGAGTGGGGCAGGATGATGGTCTTAAAGCAGGGTATTCGGAGGTAGCATTTATAAGCACACAGAGACTGATAAATTTATGCAATTTAGCAAACACATTTTGCTCCCTTTTAAAATTCATCTTTGCTTGTAGTTATTTACTTCACTAGTTACTCAAAACTAGTGAATATTCTGACTTCCCTGGGCCCAGAAACTTAATTAGACAGCAACAAGAAGATGGAAAAATTCTACTTCAGCGTTTATTATAAATTGTTGTCTCTCAAGCAACACCGACAGGCATATAAACCAAAAATACTTTTCAATTATATTACTTCTAATTAGACCATTTAAAATACTCACCTTAGTGGAAAATAAAGAAAAACAAGCAAAAAACACTGTAATGGTTTAGTGGTGAGCCCTACATACTTTCCCCCAAAGAAAGAGTTTTTATTGGTTCCCCCTCTCATTCACTTATGAAATTAGTTTTCATTAAAAATTAAATGTTACATAATAGCTCATATCAGTCAATCTCTAAATAATAAAAAAGCTCATAATTCCAATGAGAAGTAAAGTGAATAAAGTGTATTTTCTTTGTACTATTTATAAATGGTTTAGTGATAAAATACCAAGTACAAACAAGATTTCAAAATAAAAAAGATATTACAAAAAGCAAGTATTTTAGTAGGATTCCAGGTGTTTGGAAAACAATGTATTCTAATGTGAAGTGCACGTGTGTGTGTGTGTGTGTGTGTATGCGTGTGCATGTGTGTGTGCGTGTGTGTGTGCGTGTGCGTATGCGTGTGTGTGTGTGCATGTGCGTGTGTGTGTGTGTGTGTGTGTGTGTGTGTGTTTAACGCACTGGCTATTCTCCTGTTTGCTTTAAGAACTTTTACTTATTTCTGCTTTCTCGCTTCCTAAATATATGGTACTGGGTAAGTAGTTTAACAGCACTGACTTAAATATTTTAATTCTTATCTGGTAACTGTAAATTTATAATGTCCATTCACATAGTGGTGGTTCAAACAGGAGTATCATTTAACACACCCACAACTGTCTGAGGGAAAAGTCCCAGGCAATATGGTTAGAGGTTTCTTTAAATTGGTGAGTCTTTTCCATGGCTTCCCTTGTCATCTCAGAGTGGACACTTTTCTTAACATGTATTCACATGCTGCTTAGGGCACCCAATTCAGCGCGGCACATGGTGGCTGCTTTATTTTGCCCTCAGTTCTTGGATGGCAAAGCTGGGGGTCTAATTATTTTTGTGTTGTGTGTGTACTTTACTCATGAAGCAAGGTCCAGTTGTTGAACAACCAAAAGACATTGTGGAGGGGCTGGACATATTGCTCAGTGGTTAAGAGCACTCAGCTGCTCTTGCAGAGGACCTGGGTTTGGTTCCCAACACCCACATGGCTGCAAACACCCCTCTGTAACTCCAATTCTGTGGGATCTGACGCCCTCGCTTCTATGGGCACTGCATGCACATGGCACACTTACATCCATGCAGGCAAACACTTCTACACATACAATAACATTTAAAAAGTATTGTTGCACCAGATTTGCAGTTGTTGTCAAAACAGATCTTGTGCCTTAATTTTGTATCACTAGGTCGAATAAAATCTTTGTCTTTCCAGATACATTTGACCCTCTGTTATCCATGGGTTCTGCAACAATGCATTCAAATAATCACGGATCAAAAATATACAGGAAGATATAGAGTTTTTACCGTATGTCTGCAGCAGTTTTACTTGTCGGCATTCCCTGAACAGTACAACTGTTTACTTAGCGTTTATATTGTATTGGGTATTACAAGTGATTTAGAGATGACTGTATATAGGAGTCTCTATTTGTGATATGCTTATATACCATATTATATTAGGAACTTGTGAACTCTGGGTTTTGATATCCCCTGGAGGTTCTAGAACCAACCCCCGAGGATACCAAGAGTAACTAGACTGTACAATAAACAACTAGACAGTCAAATTGGTTCCCCATGTGAATAGTCTCAATTTCACAAACATGATGGTATGTCAGAGGTTAAGTTAAACATTACTAAAAATTTCCTCAGCATTCTCTCAACCCCCTTTATTGAATTCAGAACTACTTAAGATTCTTTATTCCTTTCTTGAGCACCTTTACCATGAATGAATCAGATTCTGGTTGCTGTTGACTGAATACATGGGTGTCCTGCCTCCAGCAGGGAAATCAACTAGTTGACCTGCCAAAGACATAAGTTTGAGCCTCTGGGTTTGGTTTGTGAACACCACTTTACTGTACCTGTGCACTTAAAGTTTCCAGGGGGCTTTCTATCCTTGGGAAAGCCATTAAGGGAACTCCACGGGGATCCTCAGGTTTGGGTTTGGAAGGAGATCCTTGTGTTCCTTTAAAGTTATGAACTACACACATTCCCTGCAGGATGAAGGAAAAAGATACTGGGGTCAGACTCAAGTGGTCACTGCTTGGTCATCTCTGAGTGTGGTAGATCTCTGTACTTGAATATTATCACCATAGAGATGTTCTTCCTTGGGGATGGTGGCAACAGGAGGGGAGATGAAGTGTGTGCTGAGAACATTGTAAGTGCTGGCAAGTCAAGTTTACCAGGTGGCTGGGGACATGTAGCCAATTTCTTTAGCTGCAGAACAGGAATAGGAGCACCTACCTCATAGATGTGTGACAATTAAACATGACAAATATAAGTCACTGCTTAATAACAACAAACATTTATTGAGGAGCACTCTGTGTCTGGCACTGAGCCAAGGGTTTTACCTCATTTCCTTAAACCAGCCAACAATTGCCAGTAATAGAAAGGGAGGTGCCATTATTATCCAGTTTGGATAAGGGAAATTAGATAATTTGCCCAAATTCATTCAGAAGCTTAAATTCGTTTAAATCACATCGCTATACTGTTTTGACTCTTACGTTCCAAACATATGGAGCACCTCATCGATGCTGGCTGACATTTAACTTCTTCCTAAAGTGATCACCGTCAAGCCATGTCACTGCTCTTTACTTGGATTAGACAACTCATTAGTGGTCTTTTCCATTTATTGTTTCCATTAAAGAAAAACCTCACCTATAAATGACTATCCAATTCCCTTATTTCCTGCCAGAGTCATAGCCAGCTGTTCTTACCACCTTCTCTGACCATGTTGACTTTATCTGCCTCTTTCCATACATTCATTACTGTGTATCTTTGTTTCTATAGCTCACATTTTTAAGTCTTGCCTGTCATTTTTTCAAATCATATAGAACATTTACATAAGCACTCTTTATCTGGCTCCCCTCTATCTCACTCTACAGCTCTGCTTAAAACTTTGGCCACTTAGGAAATGGGAAGAACAGGAGGTGTCAGAGCCTTGGAATCGAGATGACCATTGACCAAGATATATACTTTGAGGCTCAATTTTCTGTTCTATAAGACAAGGATAAGCATATTGCTGGGGACTTCCTAGGAGCATACGATTTGACGTAGAGTGTAGGCATGCAGTAATTGGTCACCTAACAATTTCCTTCTCCTCTGTGTTCTTCCTGTTGGGAAACACAGTTGTATAGTCAGTATGCTGCTTCTCCTCTCTCTCTCTCTCTCTCTCTCTCTCTCTCTCTCTCTCTCTCTCTCTCTCTCTCTCCCTCTCTCTCTCTCTCTCTCTCTCTCTCTCCCTCTCTCTCTCTCCCCCTCTCTCTCTCCCTCTCTCTCTGTCTCTCTCTCTGTGTCTCTCTGTCTCTTTCTCTCTCTCTCTCTCTCCAAATCTTGCTCTCTATCAATACCTCCAGTCTCCTCCCTAACTTCTCTCCCCTTTTCCCAGTTCGACTGCATGATCTGTTTGCTATAGTAACAATTCGGTAGCAGATCTGGATCTCTGGGTGAAAACAAACTTGATATCAATTGAAAAATCACTTGAAAACAGTGACGACAGACCAAATTCTAAATAAGTGGTAGAAAACAGGACTGCAAATCACTAAGAAAACACAAGTGTAATATTGAAGCAGAATTTGTACACCGGGCCCCAACAAACCCATAGTCTTTTATAGACACCATTTCTCAGAGAACCCATGCAATTGCATGGCGGTCCATACTGCACACTGCCATTTCTATTTAGCTGGGGATAGTGTGCTGTAGGAATGACGGTGTCAAGCTGTCTGGCTTTTCTTCTGAGCCCACATCTTCATTCATGAACCAGTGTTAGTCTTTGGAAATTTTCTCTTCTCTTGAAGTCACCTATGATTCTTTCCTTCTTAAAAAAAATTAAAAAAAAACATTTCTCAGGAAGTCCTCCTAATGACATATTAACATCTTAGGAACATTCCAGCACTTTTCCTATAACTTTACCTAGAGAATTTGTACTTCAGCCCCTCTTCTCCTTCCACTATAGAAAGAAATCTGTTCAAGGTCACATTGAGTTATGATATCTTCATAATCACTGTTCCACAGAAATGTGTAAGCAATTTCTGTGTATATGTTAGCAGGCAGTATAGTTGGGCAACTGAGCTAGAGGCTGGGACAAGCGTATATGTGTATTTTGTGTATTGAGGGTTGGGAGGAAAAAAAAGAAGTTAAATCACAGGAGTGCATGATTGTAAAATCAGTCTGTGTGTGATGCCAGTCTTAAAGATACATAGATTAGAAACACATGTGCATCTTAGTGTCCATTGTATTAAAAATGAATTTTTCTGTATGAAACTGTGTATTTTAATAATGAAATGGAGATCTTTTTTAAAGTTTAAAACCTCATTTAAATTTTATGTCTTAGAGGGTTTATATGGAGTACAGTATTGTATAACTGTATTAATTCAACTGTAAACCTAAAAATTGACAGCCAATTTTGAAAGAGGCACATCTTAGCTCTGGAAATTGTTATTGAATATATCAATGGTGTTGTAATAAAATGCATCTTCTAATTATATGGTTATTAAATAAATAATTTAAAAAAAAGAGATGTGAACAAGGAGGTGGGAGATACTTTGAGATGGCCTTTTTCTCCTTTCTAAGTATTGAGAGGGGGTTTGTTTCATGGAGAATATGTAAGTTTACATTCTTGGTGACCTATTGTCAAAATAAACAAGCAAGCAAGCAAACAAACAGAACTAACTTGTGCCCCTGTGGTTAAATCCATGCAATGGAATACTACACAGCAACAAAAGAATTCTAACCCTTGTTACATTCTACAGCCTGAATGAGTCTCAAAATATAAATTACGCTAGATGTAAGATTCCAAAAATACATATATGATTTAATTTAAATAAAATATGGTATACTAAAAAGAAAACTAACTAGAATGACAGATCAAGTGGTTGCCTGGGGTGGAGGGGGAAGAAAATGCAAGAAAGATGTCACAATTGAGTTTCATGCAAACTTAAAAAAAAAAATAACCCAACATGGAACTGGGAAATGGGCTGGCGGGCCCAGTCTTAGCCTAGAAACTACTGACAGCTGATCACTGCTAGGTGAGGGACACACTAGATAGGCTGACCAGGCTCCAGTGAATGAACTCATACTGAGGGGACAGCCAGGGACACAAACTTGACTAGGTAAGTCTTAACAAGTATTACAGAATGCATGAAATCTGGTGTGAGGAGCTCTGGGGGTGCAGGTGGGGCTCCAAAAATGATTAAGATGTATTATATGAAATGCACAAAAACTCAATAAAAATATATATTGGGAAAAATTCAACAGTTAGACAGTATGTACCATCTTAGGCCTATCACATTTCAACAAAACTGAAAAATGAATAACAAGATAGAGTACAAATTATTCTTTTCCAATTCAACTCATATTAAGGGATTTTCTAGGTGAGCAGGTAAGCCAGGTCCCCATCTATTTGAACAGCGAAAACATTCTCAGTACTGTAAAGACAAGAAGATCGTGTTGGCTCATAGTCTGCTCCAGGAAGGTTACTGATGGAATCAAGATGCCCAGGGGCATGTTCAGATGTGAGTGTGGTTAGCTGCTGGCTTTCCCTGTCTCTGAGAGCAATACATATACCATGATGGTTCCTGGATCCTGAGATGCTTGCAGTGCTGAAGGGGACAGTGCTTACTCCATCAGTGCCCTTTGTTCTCTGTTCTTTGCCTAAAAACATGTAACTTCTGAGCCTCAAACACAAAGCAAATACTTAAGAGCACAGGTTCAAAGGTGCACCATGTAATTAGTCTGCCTGGCTCCAATCCCAAGCCAAGTGTTCAAGGACAGAAAATAATCTCCTTTTGTGATGGCCAGTCATATTTCTGAAAGAAAAGGTTATCTACTACCATTGCTGCAGCAAAAATATGCATGTCCTTGGCAGAACTGCAACTCTGAGGGTGGGGACAAGAGGAACACAGAAACAGACTGGCACCTGGGAAATCCCATGTGCTATGACTTTAGACAAATGGGCTAAGAGGGATGGATAGAAAGACCTACCAGAAACAGGGCCACTGCGGTGCCCAGGATGAAGCCAGCAATCACGTCTGAACAGTGGTTCCGGTACTCTGAGACACGGTTGAGGCCTGTCAGGAAGGCTGTGCAGAGGGTCCCCAGGCACAGCACAGGCTTGGCCAGCCGACTGCTTTTTGTCTTGATTGTGCTTGTGATGTACATCTGCAGTGGGAGAGAGACCAGGGAGTGACCAGGCAGCCCTTGCACTGGTACATCCCCAGGCATGCGCATATACAGCTCAGCTCAGGGGCGAGGGCTGTGACAAAAGCAACCGCACCAACGACATCTTGAAGCACTCCACTAAGCAACTTGGCAGAGAGTGTAGATAGGAAACAGTCTACGATGCTGCGCATGTAGACACGAGTCACGTTTGCATCCTAATGTGCGTGTGAACCAATAAGAAGTATATTGACAGGAGCGACTGAAGAGTGATGGCTGGGTTCAGAACATGCAGTTTTTATACCACAAACTAGAGAATCATTTGGCACTCTTCAAAAATCAGATAAGAATCTCAGGTGCCAGGTATACCTTGTAGGACGATGAGTTTGTGGTAGAGGATATCAGGTAGGTGAGTGACTACACATTTTACTTTTTGTGTCCCCCCCCACCCCCACAGTCTTGGTGATGTCTTCACACTTGGGGCAATAATAGAAAATTGTTCACTGACTAGTTGACGGACTTAATTAAAACGGCCTAACCACTGTGATAGGTTACAGCTGTACCAGAAGCTGAGTCTCATGTCAGGACCGCAGTGGTTAGCTCTAGCCATCCATTTACTACAGAATGTTTTGAAATACTAAACTTAGGGGGCTGGAGAGAAGGTTCAGTGGTTAAGCGCCCTGGCTGCTCTTGCAGAGGACCCAGGTTCGAGTCCCAGAACCTACATGGTGGCTAATAACTGTTCGTGACTCCAGTTCCAGGGGACTTGGCACCCTCTTCTGACCTCGGCAGGTATTGCATGACACTGGTGCACCTACCTACATGCAGGCAATACACTCATACACATCAAATAAAAATAATAAATAAAAATATTTAAAAAAATACTAAAATTGTCTTTGTGCCACAAATATACAAAACCGTGAAAGACCTGAACTAAATAAAAGATGTTTCACATTCTAATACCTGAAATGTGGCCGGATGTTACCAAATATGCCCAGGATGGCTTAGAGTTCAGAAAACATGCTTCTAGTAAATTAGATCACCTTCAGTAATGGCTACAAAACACCACTAGAGGGAACCATTGACCCATAATTTTCTTTTCCTTTAAAAAAATTCTCTGACAGGGTCTCCAGTAGCCCCAGTTCGACTGGAACTCACTATGTAGACTAGACTGGCCTAGATATCATAGAGCTCTACCTGCTTCTGCCTCCTGAGTGGCAGGGTTGAAGGGGTGCACCATCGTGCCTGGCGTTTTTCTTTTCTTTTTAAGACCAAATCTGTCCTGGTTGGCCTGGGACTTGCTATGTAGTTCATAGCATGTGCCTCGAGCCGTGACTAGGTGGAAAATGGGTTCCTTCTCTCTGCAGATGGGACTAAGCAGGTTGAGGTACCCCAGAACATCCCAGTGGCTTAAAAGGGGACTTAGTTGTTTCCCCCTTCCCCTTTCGCTGAGACTCACTAGACTAGTCATATCTGGAACATAAGCTGAAGAAATAGGGATGTTTTCAACCCGTGGCTACTTCCACTGGTCCAATGCATGTGGTGCATCAGGGATCAAACTTGCTGCAACCTTCTGGCGGCCTCAGCCTCCCATGTGAGTGTTGGGATTACAGCCATTATCTCAACAAATGTGATGAATCAGTAATTTCTAACAAATAGGCTGATACCACAAAATATAACCTATAGGATATATAAGCTGCAATGTGTATGTCCTGAGCAGGTATAAGTTCAAATAGATACATCTTGCAATATTACATTGAAAAGTTAGCTGGCTGAAAGAACACCGTCACGCATACAAATGGGATACAGGAATCTCTTTATTCTACGTAACAGATGCCTTAAAAAACTGTAGTAGATCAAAGACTCATAAATTACAGCACATTATTATAGTATTCGGATACTGGGTAATGTTACTTAAATTTTTTGATGTAAATATATATGTTCATTTTGATTTTTTGTGCTCCTATTATTGTTTTCTAGTTACATCCTCTATGAATCTTTCCTATAAGAATATAACCATTGAGAACATGGACTGTTTTAGTAACTAGGACCAAGAAAATCACTGTTTAGAGATGCTTCTCTTACATCTTTATTTTTCCTTGATACATAATTTTGCAGATATTTATGAGGTATACTGTAGTGTTTTCATAGATATGTAATGAGCAAACCCAGGGAATTAGCATATCCATCACTTGAGTAATTCTGAAAGCATTTAACACACAACAGAGGTTCAGAAAATGTTCATACAGTTGGGCTCTTGTATTGGGGTTCATCTAATTGAGTCTGTAAGGCATGGTTTTAATTGGAATTCAAATCCACGTCTGAGTCCATGGAAACAGGTCTGATCTGAGTGGTGTTCTGTCTCTGACTTCGTATGCTGTGCCTTCTCTTAATGATGCTTAAGTCTCATTTGATGATGAGACAATGGCTTAAGTTATACATTTGTTTTTATAATGGCATTAGCAAGATTAATTTCACACAGCAGTGGCTTGAATCTGATAAAAACAGAAGAAATGGTACGAGAGCATATGGCTTTATACAAATTATATATGGTCTAGATGATTTAAGGATAAATCAACACTCTGAAAACTAGAGAACTTACTAAATGCCTCAGAGGGTAGTCCTGTTTCTTTCTCTTTTTTTAATAAAAGGAAAGAGGTCTAATCAGGTGACAACTGATTTGCTTTGTATTATCTGTGTTCATGTTTCCTTAATGTGGGGTAGCTAGAATTACCTCATCATGTAGTCATTACAGAGAAGATGTAAAAAGGATTAAGTAAGAGATGGGGTGGTTAGTACCACCAAGGGTGAGATGTCTTGAAAAAGATGCACAGATTCCTACCTGCCCCAGGTTGTGTGAAAGAGACTGTTCACTTGATTATTTCACATGCTTCTGGGTAAATGAGACTTGCAGTCTGGTTCCAGAACGGCACACTGTTCTCAGGTATGCCTGCAAATCTGCAGGTGTGTCCTCAGGTGATGGCAGAACTGGCCCCAGTGGCAGAGAGCCAGCGTGTGCCTCCAGCAGTGACTAGGTGAAGAATAGTTTCCCTCCCTCTGCAGATGGGGCTGAGGGGGTTGGGTGAAGGCACCCTAGAACATCCCAGGGGCTTAAAAGGGGGCTTAGCTGGGTTTCCCCCTCCCCCTTTTACTGAGTCTCAGTAGACTAGTCATATCTAGAACATAAGCTGAAGGAATAGGGATGTTTTCGGCCAGTGGCTACTTCCACTGGTCAAATGCATGTGGTGCCATCAGGGATCTTGCAATATCAGCCTGTGCAACTTTGATCACTGTGCTGGCCTATTAAAAAAACCACAGATCAGAGAAAAGTGAAATATAGTCATTTCCAATATGGATACTAGTTAAAATGTAGGAAAATAGAAACACCATTGATTTTCCTCTGATAAGAGAAGAAAAATTAAAAAGGACAGCATGACCCAGCAGAGCAGTGTGTGTCTGGGGAGAGGTAAGAAGTGAACTTTGGGATCATAGGGTTCTCCTAGAATCAGCCATCTCCTAACAAAATGATAGTGTGGTAAGAAGCAGAGGCTGTGTACTGGATCCTGGGATTGCATACCTCTAGGCCAGACGTTCACCTGAGGCCATACTTGTAAACCTGTGGGAGGACTAGGAAAGGTGTGCTCTGCTGAGTGGCAACAGAATCCCCTGCCATGTGACAGCACCTTGAGCAGCTCTCTCTGTGTGTTCTTGGCTATCACTAGGCCTCAGTTTCCTCATCTGTAAAATGGGAGGGTGTAACTGGGGGCTTATCAAATTCTTTTCAAACTCAAATTTCTTTTCAAACTAAATTGTCTAGCAGGCCAGGATATTGGGATGCTGGGAGTGGTGGGGCCAGGGTAGGGGGACATTTTATGAATAGCAGATACGATGAGGGAGAAATATGTTTTATGTGATTTTGTATTAGAATTGCTTTCCTAATGCACAAAAAATAAACACATTATTTATGTAAAGGTTTAAGGTTTGTGCACCATCAATAAAGCTCTTGAATAACCTCCTCCCCCCATCACTATATATGACAGAGATGACACAATGATGTTGGGAAGGGAGAGAGACACATCCCAGCAAACTCTCAACTTGGGGAGACAGGCTCCCACACTTACCGTGGCATATAAGGCGGAGTAAATGCTCAGAGCAGCGTGTTTGGATGGAAAGGACCTCCGAGCCTTTTCTATCACCTCCAGGTCCCCAGTGCAAATGTTCCCATTGTTTATGAATTGCTGGTGTGCCCGGCAGTCTGAACTGGTGTAGTTTGGCTTGCACACTGTTAGGAAGTACGGTGTTAAGTGTCCAGTGACCACTTGTCCGGCGTTAACAAAAATGTCCGTGGCAAAAAGTCCAAATGCAAATACCCCTATGAGGAGATTTGAAAGAAATAAAGATGGCGACACACAGGGTCAGTTAGTGTTTGTCCCAGAGAAGAGACAGTGAGGAGAGTCCATGTCGATCCCAGGATTTCTACAGTCAAGTCACCTGCACGTTTATCTTTCTAGACTGTGACACCTACTTCCCAAATCACCATTTCTTCCAAATCTAGGTAGACAGTCTACATTGGTGTTTTACTGTGTTGTGTACCTAATTTGGCAGCAATGTGGTCTCAACGGAAGGGGTTAGGGCTTTGGAATTTCATTGACCTGGCCTCCAGTCCCAGCTTCGGAGGCCCATTCACAGAATGAGTAGTGAAACTTGTTTTTAACTTTGCTGAAAACAGGAAATGAGTTTTGTGCAAAATACCCAGCATGGTGCCTAAGCTTTTTCTTTTCGAATGTAGCCCAAGCTGGTCCCAACCTCACTAGGCAGTCCCAGATGACCCTCCTGCCTCCATCTCCCAAGTGCTGGGATTACAGGCGTGTGCTACCACACCTGGTTTATGCAGTGCCGGGAATCAAACCCAGTCCTTTGTGCATGCTAAGCGAGCACTCTACCAACTGAGTTACATCATCAGTCTCATCATATCTTAAGTAATTACTCTTTCTTATAGAAAAATATATTCTTCCTGGTTATATTTAGAAAAGCAAATACTTCTAAGAGGAATTACCTATATCATTGTGGTAAGAGTAATAAGGATTTTAGAGAGCTGTCCCCTCAAAAAAGAGAAAAAAAGACTCTAAAAATTTCATTGCATTGTCTTATTTAATGTAGGAAATAGTAAATGAGAAAATAGAAAACATGAAAGACAAATGTTATTAATGATATTAGTTTCTTCTGCTGCTACAACAAACTCCACCAAATTGAATGGACTGAAATAATGCAACTTTGTATCTTCACCAGGTTCTGGAAGTCAGAAGTTCAAAGTAGGTTACCTCCAGCCTAAGCTCAAGATGTTGGCCTGGCTGTGCGTCTTTGGAAAGCTTCAGGGTAGAGTTCATTCCCCACCCTTCTCAGCACCAAGGAGCTCCCTCTTCTTTTCACTTAATGGCCCCTTCCCAGCCCTCATCTTATTCCACTGCTCCTCTGACCCTGACCTTCATGCCTCTTTCTTACAAAGATGCTTGTGTTTGCATTTAGTCCACTTGGACAGAGCAGGATAATCTCCCCATTCAAGATTATTAATGTAAACAAATGTTCACCCCCCCACACACATAATGTGATAAGTTCACAGTTTGCAAGTCATGACCATCATTTGTAGTGTTTTGTAGTGTGTATGCATGTGGGGTGTGTGTGTGTGTGTGTGTGTGTGTGTGTGTATGTGTGTGTATGTGTATTTATCCTGACTTTGTGTTTAGCTGAAAAAACTGTGCACAGACTATACCTCTAGCCTTTTATCTGTTCTCTAGTAAATTCCATGAGTTTAACCTCAACAAGCTTGAACATAGATAACAGAGGATTTTTAAATTGAGAACTATTCTTAAATGACATATAAAAGCATAAAATCATACATACTTATGGAGTACCATGTATATTTTGACACATGTATTTACTGTTTAAATTATCTGTATTATGATTTAAATGACTTGAAAACATTATTTAAATGTATTTCCTCAAACATTTGTTATTTGTTAATGGTGAAAACATTCAAATTCTTCCTTCTAGCATTTTGAAATCTATAGAACATTATCAATATTGATAGTTATCCTACTATGCTATTGAACACCACAGCTACTTACGTCTAACTATAATTTAGTGTCCATTAATCAACTTAGTGTCCATTAATCAACCCCCTCCTTCCCACCACCTTCCCAGTCTTTGATAACTACCATTCTGATTCTATGAAATCAACATTTATAGATTCTATATGTGAATTAAATTATACAACACATCTTTCTGTGACTCTTATTTCACTTAATATAATGATCTCTTGTTCCACTCACGATGTCATGAATGACAGGATTTAATTCCTTTTTATGGCTGGAGAATATTCCATGGTATTTAAGGGCCACATTGTCTTTATTCATCAGTTGAAGTTCATGTAGGTTGTTTCCATTTCTTGGCTATTGTGAACAGTGGTACAGCATAGGAGAGCAGAGGTCTTCTTGACTTACTGATTTCATTTTCTTTCAATATGGATGCAAATGTGGGATTTCTGGATTATATGAAAGTTCCATGTTTAATTTTTTGAGGAGCCCATACACTGTTTTCCATATGAATGTACTAATTTACAGTCCCATTGACAATGTTCAAAGTTTCTTTTTTCTCCACGGCCTGGCCAACACTTGCTACCATCTGTCTTTTTGAGAACAGCCATTCTTACTGGAGTGAGATAGTATCTGCCTGCAGTTCTGATTAGATTTTCCCAATGATTAGTGATGTTGAAGGCACTGTCATGTATACCTTGGCCATCTGTGTATGGCTAATGGAATTCTTTACAGGATGCTTTGCTTTACTGTCCATTTGTTTATTACATCTATAGATGTAAGTTCATCAATTATAGTAGAAGTGAAGACAAGTTTAGCTGAAATCTTCATCTGGTTTCATTTTGATCTGTATTGATTACTATAATTTTCCTTTCCGTGGCTTTGCCAGAATGTGTTTTATCACAATGAGAACTGGCACTTTCAATAGCTTCAGTTGGCTCAGTCTTATGGGTCCTGACCTGGGAGAGCAGGCATCCATTGATCATACCTGGCAGTTTTCAGCCTCAGGTTCTGGAAGTCTGAATGGTTGGAAATTTTTAACATCTTTAAGCAAGATTCTTGAAGACCAGTGGCTTGTTCAAAGGCATAAATAAGCCTGTCTAGACAAACTTTCCAGAAAAAGAGGATTATTTATGATTTGAAAAAGGAAAATGATAGTATTTCCTTCTGGCTTTTTGTCAAAAGTGTCTCCAATGAGGGCGGAATTCTGGAGATGGAGGATTTCTAGGCTCCATGAACAGTGAAGAGCCAGCTCTGTGCTCACAGTGACTCTGCAGACACTGTCCTGAGTATCAATGCTCAGTGCAGCCGCCCCCTTTCCTCTCTGCCTATACTGCGTTAACTCTGCTTCTCCCAGTGGCTTAACAGCATCTGCTTGCTGAATATTTCTTTCTGGTGTGTTTAGTCCAGACCAGAAATGTGCTGTGCCACCCAGAGGATCCTGCCTTTCTCTAGCACAGGGCACACTGACAGAGGGCCCAAAGAGCCATGGAACCTGAAGTGGGGACTTACATACAGCATCAGATTACACTGAACTTTTGTAAAGAAACTCAAGCCAGTCGGGCATGGTGGCAGACACCTTTAATACCAGCACTCTGGAGGCAGAGGAAGGTGGCTCAAGGCCAGCCTGGCCCACATAGTAAGTTCTAGGCCAGCTGGGGCTACAGAGAGCCCTTGTCTCAAAAGAACGCACCCAAAAAGAGCAGCTTTGTCATGCCCAGAAGTCAGTACTCCACCCCATTCCCCTACCTATAGGTCTTACATTCTTTGTGTCCCTTCTATGATATTATCTGAGCCTTGGAGGGGTAGATGTTGCTGTTGAATGTGTGGCTGAGCATTTAACAGTCTCTTATCCTCAGCACTTTTCTAGTTCACAAGTCTCTGTAGTTACTGCTGAACATGGCAAAAAGAAGCTTCTCTGCCCAAAGCTGAGAGCAGCACCAGTCTGCTGGCATAAGCATAGCTATTTAGAAGGCAATCTGACAGGCACATCATATCCATTTACCAAAGCAACAGCAGTAGCTTCCCATTAGAACTTATGACCTCCCAAGACATGAACTTTTGACAAGGTTTGCAGAACTTAATCAGAAAGTGATTGGTTACTTCCATTGCAGACTTGCCACTATTACACAAGATGGAACATCTTGCCTACCCAGTTGGAAGTGTTGCACATATGATCCACAGCTGAGTAAGACTACGGCCAATTTTCCCCCACTAGCCTGTAATGCAGCTTCTGGCACTATGAGGGCTAGTCACCAGAGAAGAAGCTTCCAGCTCGGTTCCAGATAAATTTTTCTATGTCTTGTGATCAGAGTATGTGGTAGCTTTAGCAATATGGTCTTATCATCTAGTTCTATGAGCAACCAGCAGTGGTGGCAATAGTATATATTGTTTTGAATAACTTAGGAGCCTCCCTGATTAACAAGTTGTAAAGAAGAAGCCCATCCCCGGTACTCGGATTGGATTTTCACTTAATAACCAAAGACTTCTTGGAAGAGATTTATCCATCCATGCAATGTAATTCAATTCAAACTCTATATTTTAATTAGCTGACCAAGTATCAGATTTCTTTATGTTAGCCAAGTTTTTACCTTATAATCCTCCTCCCCATATGGCAATACTCAAAGAGCTGCTTCTATTTGTCATATGGCAGCATTCCACTAATTGTGTTCCTTGCCTCAGGAGAGTGGATTACATTTCAGGAGGGGTCTTTGAATTTACAACAGACACAAAATCTAAAAGTAATGAAGTTTTTATTGGTAAGCATCATATGCTTGAGGCATTTATTGTGGTATTTGCCTCAAATGCTGAAAGAGTTTGGAAGATCAAGACTCATGGCACAGACAACCACGTTTCTAAAAATCAGCCACAAAGTAGGGGAGGGTGTGGAGGCAAATGGTGATGTCATCAAGGAGGCAAGCTGAGCTGGGCTGGCTGGAGGAGTGAAGTGGAGCTTCCAACCTCTGCCTCATGCTGGTGTCCTCAGGAGCTAAACAACAGAAATCTCCAGGCGGATATTTTGCAAATGCTGATGGAAGTGTGTTTTGTGCCTTTCAGGATATGGCTCTGGAGCTCTGCATAGTTCCGTCAGAAGTTTTACTTCCATCTTGGCACTAGAACAATTGGGCAATGCACGAGCTATGGACCAGGGAGATCATGAGGGCTGCATGGGTAGAGAAGGGGCTCGTGATTGGGACAAACAAACAGGCTTCTGCTGGTGACTCCCATAGTTCCTGTTGTGGTATCAACTAAGAAAACCAGAGCATGACTTTTCTTTGTG